TGGTATAAGTCTGACTACATAAAGATTATACGAGAACTCTCCTACCCCAACACAATCAACATCCTCTCGAGAGACTTTAATTGAGATAAGCCTGAGCTTAACGATGTCAAGTTTTACCCTTTACTTTTATTCTTTACACTTTTGCAAGAGCTGTATTGTAGAGATTCAAAGTTTGGTGTGGTCACATCCTTAGGAACCACCTACCTGAGGGAGCCCCCATTACAATCCTGCATACAGCCTCTAGTCAGATGGATAGTCGTGACTTATGCAGTATTATGGACATGTCTTCATGGACTCCACTTGAGTAGAAAGCATGCAACTTCACCCATTTTAGCCCATGATACCTGGGGCCAACCCTGGGGCTACAGGTACCTGTTAAGACTATTTCTACTAAGTTATAGCATATTCACAGTACTATAGCTCCTTCCATAGTCTTCTGATCAGTGTGTAAGCAAGTGCCCATCAATCATCCTTGTATAACCAAGAATCCTAACATTTCCCAGAATTTCTCCAAGAATATTTCTGCGAGAAGGTCGGATAATCATGTCCTAAATGTAGAGTAAGTCTGTCCATAGTAACATGGAACTAGTCTCTGTAGTAGGGTAATAAGACTCTCCTAGATAGGGTAAACTTATCTGATCTTCCAACCTATCCTTAGGTCAGAGCCAACATTGTCACCTTACTACCCCGACTTAGCTATACTTATTCCTTCAACTATCTTCTATTCTGAGAGACACTCAGGCTATCAGGTATCTCTCGAGCATGTTCCTGCTAGTCCTTCTAGGCTACTATTTGATCTCTTGGTTGCCTGTATGGACATAGTAGATATAGGTTGCTATAGTTCCATAACTTTAAGTCATTACATACTGATAGGCTTCCAGTTGGCTCAATTTGGTACGATCACTTAACTGAGTCATGACCTATGTCCTTATAGGCACATCCTAATAACTCACTGAACTGCTGCCAATTTCGTCCCAATACTTCAAGTTTCTGTCTATATCGGTGGTACTTAATCTTATTTAGCTTATAGCTCTGCGGTTACTTACATGATTGACTCCATTTTACTTTTGCGACTTACTCTGAGTGTCTCTCTTATATATCCTGCAAACAGACTTTGGTCAGATAGGTAGTGATGACATAAAAGGTGTTGTGGAGCCTGCCTTATTTTTACTAATTTATGGTAATAGGACACAAAAGTCTAGTGATACCATTACAACATACAGGTTCAACAGCAAGAACAGAGGATGGTGTTGGCCCTGGACTTTCCAGAGGCTTGCAGGAGGCCACTGCACAGGAGAGGTCTGTATACCATATAGGTAACCATAGTATTAGGCAACCAGATGTTTTCTAATTGAAAGGTTTGTAGTACATTATCTGATATGTGAGAAATCATTATAATATATTGTCAGTATCTCAATTGATTTTATTCCTTAGCCTACATGATTTATACCTCTTACATCATTTAAATACCAACTCTGAAATCTTAGTAGTTAGTCAAGAAATAGGTAATGTAAAGTAACATAAAATACAAGTAATCTACAAACTATTTTTATACATACTAAGTAGACATGAAACATCTGAGTCAGCAAAGCTTTGTTCATATATTTAACTTTGAATACCCAGTAATTAAGAGGCAAATACCCATCTGAATCAAAATGAGCAAAGTTGTGTTCATTACCAGTATCAAATCGTGTACTATTATTAAATTCAAAACTTCAGTTGAGCCATTGAACATGTTGTATGCTGCAAGACCTATGTGCTACAAGATCTACTTGGGTGTAAGGGTATTTCCAATCTGGCAGTCCAAGTACCCTCCCTCCTAGCCCTATCCTTACCCCTTATTTACCTGGTTGTCAGCCAAATTGTAATTAAAATATTAACTACTATAATCAAAGTAGAGACACAATATATTACCCACAGACACCAAGATTGGAACCATGAAGTAGAAAGGTACATGTGAACAGTCTTTCAACAAAGTCCGATACCGAGAAACAACCCATAATAAATACGTTAAGGTCAGAACCCTTGCAGATGAGGTAAGAGGGAACTAGATAAAGATTAGAAAGTATTTGAATATTAACAGATAGAGATGTTAGAAGGTAAAACTGAAATTACCATATCTTAAAGGAATTTGATAAAAGCTAAGAATTGAAAAAAGATATACTAATAAATATAAGAAGCAGGTACGTCATCAGATTGGAAATGGTCAGGCCAGCCTCTAATATTTAACAATAAGGAAAAGCAATACTTAGATGCTTTTGTTACAAGGGATACTTAAATGCAATACTTGGGCTTCAATATGACCTGTATTGAAATGAACTATACATACCATCCCTGTACTGATAAAAGAGCCATATATTCAATTGGGTACCATTATTGTATTCCTTGTCAAAAGTTTACCACTAGGCCTAATAACACTGGCAAGTCCAACTGGATTGCATGGTACCAAGAGTACAGGCAGTTAAATTGGGTCTATAATAACTAGCTTAGAGTTTCTTTTTGAATGGATAAATCAACTTTTGTAATGGCGGGCTTTGAATGTCATTCTTAGCTTACTCATAAAACATTAGAGGAGTTATTTAAAGATTGCATTGACAATACTTACAAATCCAAATGTCAATTGAAGCTAATTAGGGGGGCATTTTGTGGAATCCCAAAGTCAAATCTCATATTTATTTCCAGGAAGGCTAAAATGAACTCTGCCTGCTATATTCTAACAGTTATGGAACTACATCTGGTTCTATTCTGGCACCAGTATTGTAAGCTTTATGATTGAACAGGAATTATAGAGAATAATACTTCTGAATACAGGGGTGCTGCCAGTGTGGATCGATACTGGCTGCTCAGTGGAATAGAACAGATATGATAGCCTACCAATCCCCTAACCTGCATCTCATTAAAGCTTTATGGTTGGAAATAGAGCTGGAATTAAAGAAAATTTATGGTCAGATCAGAGATATTCCAACTTTGGAAACAGCATTAAATACTGTTTGGCATAAGATTCCTCAAAAAGTGCTCTAGTATTTGATTCATAGTATACTATGTAAGTTGCAAGCAGTAATTAATACTGAAGGGCAACAGCAAAAATTATTTCTACATCAGAAGCATAGGCAGTATGTCCTGATGTAAGGTGGAAGGATTCTGTGTCCGGTGCATCCTTTGGGTCTGGTACTTGGATGCCAAGTCTGGTTGTGTCCTGTGCATCTGGTACATGGGCCCTAAGTCTGATTGCAACCTGTAAATCCTAGTGCTTATGCTAGAAAGAATCAGGTCCAGATTGCATCCTAAGCAAGCAAGACCACCCAGTTACCATCCTGAAATTCCAAGTAATAAACACGGCTGCCAGCCACTCCCCTTTACTATCCCCCTACTGGCTATCCTGCTACCAGCTCACCACCTACCAGCTCTCTAGCTACTGGCTCTCCCTCTACCGGCTCTCCCCCTACCGGCTCTCCCCCTACCAGCTCCCCTCCTACCTGCCCACCCCATACCAGCTCTCCCCCTACCTGCATCCTGCATACCACCTCTCCTTTTACTGGTTCCTCCTACTACCTCCCCTGCATTCCAGACTTTGGGTTTACTTTTCCTGCTTTGCCAAGTTAGTAAGGTTCTAGTTAAGTACTGAGTTTGATACGAGATTCCGTGGGCATCCTGTGACCACAGCAGCTGATAAATGATAGCCTGATTCTCCCCAATGCCAGCTTTCTAATGATACCCCATATGTCTACTTAGCGCCAATATTAGTATAGTTCCAGCCTGTTGTGAAAGTGGCCCTTACCCTGGCAGAGTTCTGACCTAGTTCTGGTTGAGTGCTGACTTTGATGCCAGATTCCTCAGGCATCCTTTGGGCGCAGCATCTCATACTCGGCAGCCTGATTTTACCCGATGCCAGCTCTCCAACAGTACCTTGGAAGTCTACCCAGTACCCATATTGGTAGAGCTACAGCCTGTCATGAAAGTGGTCTTAAGCCTGGCAGACTTGTAGGGAATCACTGACTTTGACACCAGATTTCTCTACCATCCTTTGACTGCAGAGTCTGATACTTGGCAGCCTGATTCTACTCTATGCCAGCTTTCTAACGGTATGCTAGATGTCTTCCCAGCACTGAAAGTGGTGCAGTTATCACCTATGAGGTAAGTGGTTTGAGCTGGATTTATGGCAAAGGGTTGGGGAGGGACAGTTTCTTTCTGTACCATGTATTATAGAACCGACTTGAATATGATAAGAAATACTCTTTATTTGAAAGGTTTCAGAATCTACATTTGTGACGTAGGCTATAAGGTCTAATTCTGGTCTTACATCCTGTAACTCGCAGTAGTGCTTGCTTGCATTCTGGCTGCATCCTGAGTTCTGGCATCAAGGCTCACTTGCATTGGAGCTGTGTCCTGAGTTCTGGCACCCAGACTTGCTAGCATTGGGGCTGCGTCTTGAGTTCTAGCACAGAGGACTGTTGTGTCCTGAGTCCTGCTGCCAAGGACCATTGTGTCCTGAGATTTGGGAGCTACCATCTTGTGTTCTGATTAACAGTTTGTGTCTCATATGTCCTGTGTGTCAGATGCACAGGATGCACAGGATGCAAGCTTTTATTTTTGCTGATGGGGGAGCTACTACTGCATATTAGATTGTAAATGGAATTGAAATCCAAAAAAAAAAAAGCGCCAGACTTGTGTCCGTCACTAGTTCTGATCACTGAATATCACTCATATTTCCGTATTGGTCATAGCTTGAAGGGAAAATACCCTGTCCGTTTTGGAAGTGCCCCCGATTTATGGCTACCCCCGGAGTACCGTACAGTACCGTACACAATCGGCGGGAACCATGGCACTGTTGCCGTAGTGGTTGGGAATCCAACTCCTCCGCTCCGAGCCCAGAGTGGCCTCTGCGTATCATATTCCCATGGCACACTTTCAGTCTTGGCACCCGCCAACCCCACCCCCATCACCCTTTCATTTATCAATCAATCGATCCACCCCCACCATCCCCCACCACCCTCGCCTCCAGGCCAGCTAACGCGCATTCCACGGAAAGCTGAAGGTAAAACCAAAATGGCCACAAGACCAACACTAAAAAGCCTACCACGTCTTCTACACTTACAACACCACCCTCGCGGTCACCGCCGGCGCCTCATCTCAACCGCAATCCGCGCCGCAACGACACCGTCACCATCAACGCTGACAAATCAAGACGCAATTCTCGAATGTTTGACCAAGCTAGTGAAATGGGAGTTTGCGAAGGAAAGTCTTGTGCTGCTAGCCGAGAGGGGGATGAATGCGGATTGGGGTGGAAAGGGTGTGATCAGGGTTGGTGGTGGGTATAATTGATATCTATCCTGTCTCCTAATATTCTGGAATTGGTGATGCTGGGTCGATCATGGCTGATGATGGGTATGTTATCTGAGTTATCAGTTCTGGGAAAAGGGGATGGGTTGGGGAGAGTTGCTGCTGTTCTACTTGATAATCCGTTTGCTCGTGAGGAGAGGAGTGAATGCAGAGGAAGGGGGACATGGGTGAAGGCGTTGAGGAAGTGGTGCGCTGATGGGAGTGACAGTAGGGGATTGCTCATACGGTAGTGTACTCGTTTTTTTCTTCCCTTCTCTTCTCGCACTGATTGAAATCCATTCACACACAACAGAAATTAGATTAACGAATTCGTTCCCCCCTATCATAGCTACGGCCCCGCCAGCGAAATCTCAACACCAAAAAACTCCCCGGTCTCCCTCCTCACAGTTCCGTCATCGCTCCTAAAATCCTCCAATATCGAAATCCTGCTTGCACCAATACCCCCGGGGGACCCTACTGTCCTTACTTTCCGTGCCAATAACGCTCCTGGCCCACGCCCCATCAAATTCCCAGTTCATAAGTCGATAATGTACGCCGGTGAGGGGGAAACTGGCCTACAAACGCTCTTAGGTCACAATAGCACCACCCCTACCACCAACGATGATAACAGAAATTCACGGGTGCTCCGATTACTCTCGCTGCCAGCTTTGATCCTAGAGAATAATGATGTTAGGTCAGTCAAAATCATCAATCTCCCTATCGCGGAAGATGCCATCGAGCAGCTGAAGGCTTCCACCGTCGGTTCTCTTACGTTTGAGAGTGAATGGCTGCAGAGTGGGTTTGGTTCTGTGAAGGAGTGGGTGCTTGATGGGTGTAAGACGCCGGATAGTGATGCTGGGGGTGTCCCCCCAGTTGTAAAAACCTTGATTTCCTCGATCGTCGCCGAATCCGAGCGACTGATCCGTGTGGAGGAAGAGAGATTAAGTCGCGCAGCGGAGAAACATGGGAAGAAGTACTTCGTTGGTGAAGGCTTCGCTACCAAAACCGTCGCCGAGAATGTTGAAAGCTTATCCTCAATTTTGAGGAATTGGTCACAGAAGGCTCATTCGGAATTGCAAAACTCTTTGGCTGAGGGATTCAACTCTCGCGCGTGGGAACAACTTGCATGGTGGAAGCTGATTTGGACGGCAGATGATGTCACGGCGAACTCTAGGGAGGTGATTAGTACATGGTTTCTACCGCAATCCAAGAGATCATTCATGTTCCTAGCAGGTTGCCTCACTGGCGCCGGGTTCAAGGGCAGCCCCCCGACGGCATTGCGACGACCAACTTCCCCGGAAGAGGAGCTTGCGTGGTTACGATTGGCGGATGCCCCTTCCCCTCCCGAAAACGCAGGCGAGCACATGCCTGAGGCATCCTACCCCGAGCACCTCTTCACAACGGCAGACAACGTTATTGGTAATCTGATACCTGACCTCCAAGCCTCGGCCAACAGGCTACTCATGGGATCTCTGTCATTTTCCGTCACGTCAGCGGCAGCTTCCAGCCTGCTGTATCTATCCGACATCCCCGCTTACCAGAGCATCAGCGTCGCGGCGCTGGGGCTGGTCCTGAGCATGCGCTGGCTGCAGACTCGATGGGGGACCGAGCAACGCCGGTTTCGACAGGCCGTCAGAGAACAGGGTCGTATCGCGATAGTGGAGAACGAGCGGTGGGTGTGGGATAGATTGAATAATGGGTTGGCCGTGGATGAGGAAGAAATTGCCAGCAAGGATGCGGAACTCGAGAAAGTGCTGGAGGCCAGAGCCGTAGTTGGAAGGGTCACAAAACTGTTAGAGACCTTTGAGATTACCTAATGCTCTCGTACCGGTGGATCCACACGGCCGAGCTTAGGTAACTAAATTATATCCAAATGAGAGAACCCCATGCCCCATCTCTTTTTTACCTAAAGTCTTTAATGCCGAGGGGGAAATTAAAATATCTACTATGGTATACCGGTTACGCAAGCATTCAGAGGACGTCATACTCCAACGCAACCCCATGGATGCGAGGGAATTAACAAGTTCCCTATTATATTTCGCCCTCTCGAAAGGCCAAGTTACTAGTAGCCCTTTCTCACCCAGTCTGGTACCATACTGCCAAAATCTTGATGACAGCCTCACCCCACGTTCGAAACACACATTGAACTAAAAGGGAACTTAGAAGAGCAAGTTAGGGGGAATGGTTTGGCGGGCCGGAACTAGGATTCTCGAGTGGGAGAAAAAAGGGAGATATTCCCATGATTCCGAAATTATGGGTTTGGACTTGGCGACAAAGCTGGTAGCGAGATGATCGCGGGACGTGGCGTTGACAAGGATGGCGGATGGCAAGAGTTCAGAGCGTCTCGTTCATGATACCGCATTACAGTATCTGGTAATACCGGTGTGGGGTAAGGCAGTTAATAGGGGGTTTCGCAGTCAGGTAGCCTGTGTGGGGCGCATAGAGGAACCATGTCATATTAGATAGCTTGGCATGTGGGTTTTGCAGAAAAGCCACCCTTTTGTTTTCATGAAGGAAGCAGGACACCACCATATGGAGAAAATCGGAGAATAATACAACTGTTTATCTCTGTCTCTATTAGTCGAGCTGCTTCAGTCAAAATCACTTTCCTATCTAGCTAATTAAGCAATCCCTTGTCAAATCAGTTTCCCATCAATTTATTGTCCCGGGTATCGAGAGGTAACAGTTGCCTGATGGACGTAGGATACGGCATGCGCACTATACAATCTAATTAACAAGAAAGAAGAGGACCGACTAACTCGTATTCTGGAACAGATTGGTGTTGAGATACTTGATGACTTAATCTCCTACTACTGTAACAGGGGCTCCTGTAGGAAGATAGCTCCTAAGAATGAAACTGCATCAAACTTAAAACTTTTTTGCAAACTGCTCTTACAGATGTAAACAAATAAAGTAAACAGTAAAACTGAATATTTTTAAGCAGAAGCTGTATTCAATTTATGTCTCAAGAGGATGTTGATTCTGTTAGAATCAGAAAACTCTTATTTATAATCTTAAAGGAGTCAGACTTATACTAGAAACTTCCCTATTGGATTACCCAGACGATTATGAGTTCGCCCTTCTATGCTGGGAGTTGTCAGACACGTTTTATTGCCCCCTCAATGGGTCTTAGATGTTAGTACACTCTACCTACTATGTTCTATATGTATATTAGTCTTTTTAACTTATTATCAATACAACTACTAGAGTGAAAACATTTGCCATCCTCTGTCTCTGTTACAACTGTAGTCATTGAAAAATATTTCCTATTTGGGAATGACTCAACACCAGAGAACCATTACCACTTTTTCAGTCTCATACCTCCCCCTTTAGGGGGGTGTAGGCTATTGCTCTGCAATCCTTTGTCCCCATGGGGGTATCCTCATTCTTTCTCTCCCATATAGCATCTAGTCTTGTTGGTTTGGGGTCTAGTTCTCTCTCCTGGGGGCCTTATCATCAGGCCTCCTTTCTCTCTACTCTACTTTTACTAGGTCTCAATTAGTACTAACATGGTTGGTTTTGGCAGTGTAATGATCCTACGTTATAGAGCGAGAGCAACCTATGTCTACACCCATACATAAGACTACGAGGTCATAGGGTGGAGCAGGCGGGCATGTGGCACATGTCCTAGGGATATCTGATGGTCTGGGTATCCTGAAGAAGAGAAGGTACTTCAGGAATAGGTGTACCTAAGGAGTGGAAGTATTATGACTATATCCACTCTGGCCTAAGGATAGGTCGGAAGGCCTGGTGAGTTTACCCTGTCTACGAGAGTCACATTACCCTACCATGGAAACCAGTTTCGTGTCACCATGGACATACTTACTCTACCTTCAGGATACTATTACACTACCTTCTGTTGAAAACGTTCTTGGAGGAATTTGGGGAAAATGTTAGGATTATTTGTTACACAATGATGATCAATGTGCACTTGGTTGCATACTGATAAGAAGACTACGGGAGGAGCTATAGTGTTCTGAACAAGATGTAACTTGGCAGAATCATTCCTAACAGGTACCTGCAGCCCCAGGGATCGCCCTGGGCATCATGGACCAAAATGGGTAGAGTTCCCATCTTACTAGTTAAATGGAGTCTGTGGAGACAAGTTCATAACACTGGATATGTCGCTGCCATCTGTCCGACAGGAAGCAGTTCACAGGATATATATAAGGGGGTCAAGATGAAAAGATCAAGTACATTCTCCAAAAAGAGCAGAGTAAAATGGACCAAAACCGAGGGAGTTAGTGTGAGCTATCCAGAAGGGTCCCCAGAGTAGTCCCAGGTAGTGCCGGAGACATTAGGGAAGGTTTTACACTAATTAAGCCTACACGTGCCCCGTTGCTGTAGGCTCTTTGTAGGTTGTTTGAGGACTCTAATCATATGATACTTATCACAGTGAGTGGTGTGCCACTGTTAAGGGACCAAGGGTAGTACCCACAGGTCCTGCCGCCACCACAGATTTCTACACAAGCGTTGTAGACCTTTTAAGTTCGCAATCAAGATAGATAGAACTTAACCGGAAGTCAGGTGTTGTCTACAAGTGCTTGGATAGGTCGTAGCATATGGGAAGAGAGTCATTTAGTTAGCTTTCCTAGGAGTCTTGACAGTTAGCCACTGGAGAGACTCTGATGCACAGAGGTTTTCACTCCGGCAGGTGTATTAGTAAACACCTTGCATGAACTGATGTGCATATCGGAGATTTCTGCTAGAGTTGGCTGATACCTTAGGCCCTTCAGAGACACGGCAATGGTACTTGGTAACTCGTACGGAGAAGGGCATGCTCACGTGAATTAGAGTAACCTGATGGGAAAGTTTTTGGTATAAGTCTGACTACTTAATAATTACACAAGACCTCTCCTACCAGAACAGAATCAACATCCTCTCGAGAGACTTTAATTGAGATAAGCCTGAGCTTAACGATATTATGTTTCACCATTTACTTTTATTCTTTAAACATTGCAAGAGCTGTGTTTGAAAGATTCAAAGTTTGGTGCTGTCACCTCTTTGAAAACCATCTACCTGAGCGAGCCCCAGTTAGAGTATATGGTTAAGGGAGCTTCTTGCTTAACTCTTCTCTTGATTTTATTTGATTGAACCGACATTAACCCATTATAGCTACTTTAGTAGTTACCATTGAAGGAGAAGCATCGAGTTTGGATAGCAGCTTTGTACTTAATGACAACCCCTTAGAGGCCGCCCTATTCAGGGCCTCAGTAATAGCTGACACATGAGGTATTGGTGGTGGAACAGCAAAAATGCTACTTGATGTAGCACTGTTCGAAGTCTCTTTAGACTGTGGAAGTTTGGTCCTCGCGGACCCAAGCCTTGCGGCACTTTCCTTCACGAACAACAGCATGTTCTTTTAAAGCATTTTGTATAGCCTAGACACCTCAGTAGCAGAAGACAAGAAAATCTCTGATGAACCAAAGATCACCCCTACCATTTTGGTCGTGGATTTTGTCCACAATTACGCTGAACCGTACATTGTACGCAAGGTGATTTGCGAAGTAACCAACGCAAAAATGGACCTGTTACATTGGAGTAAGAAGACCCAGAAACAATTCAGGAAATAAATTGTTGAAAGTTCAGTGGGATGGATGAAAAGGAAGCAGGAGGCCTTTATGGTATCATTGAAAAATCAACATAGGATGAAGATTCCGATGGATGCGTTGGAAATGACTTGGAAGGAGGAATACCAGATTGATGAAGACAATGATATTTTGATGATAGAGGCAGCTCCTGCACTACTCCTAGTAACAGATAAGCCTGATAATTTTTCTCAGCAACTGACACTATATGCGAGGGATGAGAGATGGTGACCAGAACTGAGTTAGTTGAGTCTACAGATCTTGCAAACTCTGAAGATGACAAAAGACAGTGAAATACCATCATTATTCATACTAGCCACCTCATGATTACTTGCTACCTGCATGGTACGAAGCCACTCAGTACTGGCAAGTCCAATTGTTTGAACGCAATGAAGAGCATCTCTACAGGTACTTCACCTGACTGTCAACAGACCTATACAGTCACCTTTCCCTTCTATTACGGTGACGCCAGTGGCTCTGCCATTACTAAAGCCAAACATGCCCCCTCCTCATGCTAGTTCCTTGGGCTCTGCCCCGACACCAGTAGCAACCCCAGTACCTACCGCGTGGCAAGCAATGAATCCAGGTTCACAGCTTGCAGACAGGAGTGAAAACATCTTGAAACGATTTCAACTGACATGAGTCCCTCGTCATCCTCCTACAGCCTTACAAGGCATACCCCTTCCAATTGTGGCTATGCCGCATGAAACCAGCTGGCCACTGATTTAAGTGCCGACGGCACAGGTGAAACCTTCCAGTACTGCTGAACTTTCTGGTTTCGTGCCCCCATCCAATTATATCAGTCGAGGATGATGGTGTCACCCTACATGCCCAGGTAGTAGGGGACGATATGATCATTTTTTTCATTCTCCCTACCCCTAGGCACCAAAGGATAAGGGAAAGGAAAGAGAAGGACTCACATGTGGGTATTGTAAAATGAGAGGGCACGAGGGACCTCCGATGCATCCAGAGACGTGCTTGGCTATTGCCAAATGGTTAAAGGTATTGCAGGCTGCACCAAACCCGATACCTTTAGGAAGTAACTAGCTGGTAGGCTCAGTACTGCCACAAGTACCATCAGGAGGTGGTCCTCCGGATGACGGGAATTGTGGTGGTCAGAGTGAACAATTTGATGGTTATGAGAGACCAAGGGAAACCTTTGCTGGTGATGCTGGAGGCAGTGGGGGTGGTAACCTACCTCCTGGTAGTGGATTCACAGTGGCTGGGGGAGGGGACGCAGGTGATTCCAACCCTGAGGACAGCTCTGTTAGTGGGTAGGTAACTCTAAAGTCAGGCGAGTATATACTAGATCCTGTAAACTTCTGTCTTGGAGATAGTCAACAAGGCTCATAAAGATAGAAGTAAAGTAGAACGAATATGTTGATAAGATCTCTTCTTTAGTCACTGATGATTGACTTAAAGCTAGGGATGTGTTTTTTTTTGTTTCACTCATTGATTATTTGTTTAGGGTATAAAAAAACCGATGGAGCACTAGCTATGACGACAAAAAACCCATATCCCTCCTCTCACCACAGGAAAAAGCCAAGCCCCCAAGCCCCTCAGGTATGGAGCTAACTGCACATCTTGCCTCAAAGAAAAGAAACCCAAGCTCAGCTAGATGGACAAACAAGGAAATCCTAACTAAGAAGAAAGCTGGAAGGGCCAGGAAAATGCGCTGAGAAATCCCAAAAAGACAAAAGAAAGGTTACTAGCAAGCTACGTAGGGCCCCAAAGGGCGAGTCCACTCATTCAAGTAGGATGCAACGCACGAAGCATGCTAAGATAGGGCACCCCCCCCAGACCCACTCCAAGGAGGCAGTCCAATACCATGGAGGGAAGGAGGAGACCAGCTGGCCATCGGCGATAAGCGGGGAGAGGGGCAGGTGTAGGAGTAGGGTGCCAGCCAATCCGACCATAGGAAGAGGAGAGCAGAGGGGTAGACCTAAAGACCTTAAATATTGTCTATCGGTAATCGCGTTTGTG